GAATAAGGGGGTGATAGCGATAGGCTTGTAGTTTGACAAGTCCAAGCGGTCACCTTTTTTAGAAATCGCGTGCACTAAAGCGTTCTCCATGAGCCTAGAACGACGTCTAAAGATTAAGAGAACCGAAAAAGACTCGTAAAAACGTTGCCAACTTTGGAGCAGACGTCTTCAGCATAATTGGGGGGATTCCATCAGGCCCACTCGACTTTTTGATGTCCAGGGACAGGAGCGCTTTGCGCTCAGAGCGCTGTGTAAGCAGCACGTCCGGCATTGAGTGCGGGATGATCGGTGGTATGTTCTTGTGGTTGGTATGTATTTATGCTTTTTTAAAGATTTTTAATGAAAATGGAGGATAATAGTGTTCCTTGTGATGAATTGAAGTGTGTTAAAGTGATAATCGGAGAGGAAATCTTTAAACTTTGTTGAGTGTATTTCAGACTTATCAATTATCGCAATTAAAAACAGTTATTGGTACAATTAAAACGTTCACCAACATTTTACGTGGACGTAATTAAATCTTTCCATAAGAAAGCGAGACTATTCCACTTATCTTATCTGTTAACCATTAGAATGTAAATAATTTGTTTTTTTTTTTAATTTTGTACATAATTTGTTTGTACTTTGTTCGTGTTTTACTTTTGTTCATGTATTGTATTGGATGTAAATATTTTTTTCTTTCGCTTAAACAAACCCAAACGGCTTTCTTCAAAGCCACCGAAGCTATGCAATTGCTAATATGTAATACAATCTATCTAGCAGTGGTATGATGCCTTCTGTGTGCTGTGTTTGTTAAACACGTCCTTGACAGCACTGAATATGAAACTGAAGCGTGGAGACAAATCAAAATTGGTGTATTTTTATAAAACTGCTAAAAACAACAATCTATATTTTTATCAATTTATATCTTGGGCTTGCCCTAGCTTGGAGCTCTAGCTTCGCCACTGCTGATGGCCGTCCGTATGGGAAGCGAGCAGTAGATCCAACAGGGAATTTGTATATCTTCCGCAACTGGGATTCGCGTGGACGAAGTGACTAGTTGTGTCAGACCATATGCTAAGGCTAAGTCGTAAATAGTTCTTTCTGCATGATTAGCATAAGAACCGAGCCATTCGGCGTTTTGGGCGTAGAAACTTGTGCGTTTACCGTGAAATTCCGTGTTTCATTGTCACGAACGAAATCATCGGTTACCGTTTGTCTGGCGTGGATTGTCTTGGTCGAAAAAAGTGTAAGGCTTAACGTTTTTGTGACATCAATTAAATTCAATATATCACGTTTAAATATCGTTGCACGCCTAAGTTGACGTCAGGTACCTGAAACTAGCACCATCTAGTGTCGGGGAGGGCTTCCAAGAAAATGTCAATTTTGACTTTCGACCAACAGCGCCATCTAGTATCGAATAGAAGAATTAAGCTTTCTAGAAGCTCCATACTCGAACTTTCTGCGCCTGGTCGGTTGGCGCACGTATTTATTTGAATATTCTGGATGTTTCGGGGAAAAAGGTGTATTTAAAGGCGCTGCAAGTTGCGATCGGAATTTTAGGGTTTTACTCAAAAATTATGGATAGACGGGCTTGGATGTGCGGGGCCCCCTTTTGCGCGGGGCCCGGCCCGTAGCAATTGCTATTATTGCTACGTGGTTAATAAAAAATTAGTTTAGGGATCTCTATGAGTCAAGATCGCTTGATTTATTTCTCTGGTATTATTTCTAAACTTACCCATATTATGAAATCTAGAAAAGTTACTTTGTAAAACGTTTGAAAAGTAATAAAAGAAACAGATAAATAAATACAATATACATAATTCAAAGTACAGCATCGATAAAATATAACATTAGCTATTCCTAAAAATATATTATACTTTTTAATAAATATAAACTTTGAAATATATACTAAAAAGGTTCACAAATATTTGTGTAGTACCTATCGTTAGTTTTATATAGTTAATTACTTATACCAAAATCATTCTTAATTGCCCGGACAATCTCACCTCTTGCTATTTGTACTTGTCATAGTCTAACAGGGCCTATAGTAATCTACTGTACTATTGAACACAAAAAAATTGTAACCTATAAATGGCAAATAAACGTGCTGACTCGCTACTACTGAGTATTGAATTGTGTTTTACCACTTTATACTTAAAGACTCATAGCAGATCAAGGGCCCCTCGATATAATTTGCTACGGGCCCTGCGCTTTCTTAATCCGACACTGCCTGCAGCCGTATTATAAACATACGAAATGCACAATATCTAATGTTTCACATTACATTGCTTGGCGAGTTTATCAACGTCGCGTGCGTCGCATATTATGGTAGAACAAAAGCAGCAATGGTAATTGTACAATACGATAAGTAGTGCACGTTGTACCATCCTTTATAGTACACATTGCACCATCCTTCATCGTTTCGTCTTATTCCACAAGGTTACACATCATAAGTCTGGGAGTTGTGTTCAACAAACTCATCATCGTCGCAGTGCGTTTCTATTCCCTATTCGGGAATATATTTTAATTATTAAACCTATCAAGCACAGAAGATATTATACTCGTGGTGGAAATTCGTAACTTACCTTCCATCTCCATCAGAACACGTAAATAGTCACTTTAAAAGACAATAAATTAATAAACCACTTACAATTGATATCGGGTGGTAACTGAACTTAAAACACGTGGGGAACAAAGAAATAGCAACTTAGTGGCGAAGCTAGGGCTCCAACTTGGGCAAGCCCAAGATATAGTTTTGGTATCGCTTCTCGTTGGCCGTGGTATAGAACATCTCTACTACGAATACCAAATCACCACCAAAAAAAAATGAGAACGTCCTAGAAGACATCTATGAGAGTGAGTTTGTTACTTCTTCACGACGAACCAACCACCTTGACGGATTTGACTGTAATTTGGTATGGTGTATCTTATATCAATTACAGTACAATTATTTTGTTATCGTTTCAGATTCACAGAAACAATGTCACAGACAATGTACAATTTTTCGAATATTTTTGTAGCAAAGATTAGTAACAGAAAATTGCCTATTGTACCAATAAATATCATCAACACTTCGTAAGACATACTTTTTGTTTTACTGACTTACCAAGAATACCTGATAATTTCATAGTGTGAGTAGAATTTAGGTAGTTGTTAAATAGATACTAATCGATGGGTAGACGGTGGACTAAACGTTCGCAAATGCAAATATCTGTATTATAACGGAACATCCCTTTTCGTTGTAGGTATTTATTTTTTGATTCACTGTGCCGGGCGCTGGGGGCACGACAACCGATATAAAGACGAGCGGTTAATGGTTTAATTACATAAATAAGTAATGTTGTGATTAAAGTCTTCTTAATAAATATTATTATCTATACTTATAATAAATCTGTAGAGAGGTCAATTCTGTACATGAAATATATTTCCAAAATAACTATCAGGGGGTGATTAGTTATCGATACTGATGAAACTTAGTTTTGCTGTCTGATGTTCGTTATAGAAACAAAAACTACTCACGATTTTAACGAAACTTGGTACAATCATTTTTCACACTCCTGGGCAGGTTATAGTATACTTTTTATCACGCTATGATCAATAGGAGCAGAGCAGTGAAAGGAAATGTTGGGGAAACGGGAGAAATTACTCCATTTTTTAAGTTCGCGTGTGCAGCCTTAATCGTTAAAGTTACACAGAAATCATGTATAATAGAAATGTTCTCCTTAAAATTATTAAAAAAGTATCCCACAACAGCATATGTCTATCTTTTATGCTTGACTCACAATAACACGTGTCCCAGTTCGCTTTCTGATTATATTTGTCTACTGTTACGTTATAACACTCATCCCTAATTAAAAAAAGTTAACATTATTATCTATTCAATAAAAAAGGATCATAGAAATCGGTATAGAAACACCAAAGTTATACATGAAATACGCTAATAAGCCATCGCGCGTGAATACTGAATCATGCTATAAGGATTATTTTTGTGTAACGGTCGCCGCGCTCGACGCGGCTCGCGGCGGGAGGTAGAAAGGCTAGGGGTCCGAGTGCGAGCTTCATACAATATTTGGCTCATAGATTTGGCTGTTGATTTGAATAGACGTTCAGAGTGTTCGACCTTATTGACAGACAATAATTGATTTTATCAAACCGTGCTTATCAGCGCGACTTTTAGTCTACTCTTACGTTTAATAATTTATTTTTAGATTTCTTTGGTTGTTATTTTATAAAACAGGTAGTAGTTATTTTGGTAGTGTATAAATATTTCTTAGTATTAGATTAATTATAAATTAAACTTTTTTTATTTAGCTGTAGTTTTAAATAGGTACCTAGGTATCAAATAGGTTATTTCATTCTATTAGACGTAGGTAGTTGTACCTACTTATATATTTTTAAGAATTTAATTTTGGATTTAAGGATTTATTTAGGATCCGTTTTATTATTTAAGTAGGTTTGTAGATTTTTTAAGTGTATGTTAGCTATAGTTAGGACCTCTAACGTAGATTATTTTGTTAGGTAACTGAATGCCGTCGATTAAAAATAAAATACACAATGCCACCTAAAACGATTATCTTTATCTCGAAATTCGAGAGAAGCTAAGAGAATGAGAAATGTCCGTTCTCAAGAATCGGCAGAGGAAAGAGCACATCGGTTAAACTCTACGAGAGTTAGTACCTCAACTCCTCGAGCCAATTAAAGCTCTCCAGAAAGAGAGATGCGATTAGCAGCTGACAGAGCGAGACAGCTACATCACGGGCGTCTCAAAGTTCTTTTCAACGAGAACTAAGGCTTACCATTGACCTAGAACAACTAGTGTGTTATCAACGGTGAAGCAACTGTCACCAACAAAAAGTGGGCTCACGCTGACTTACGATCGGCAGTTATACTATCCCGCGAGTCCGAAACCTACACTGAGAGGGAATTACGTCTCACAGCTGACCGCGAACGGCATACATTATATCGCGAGTCCGAAACCTACACTGAGAGGGAATTACGTCTCACAGCTGATCGCGAACGGCATGTACTATTCCGTGAGTCCGAAACCTTCACTGAGAGGGAATTACGTCTCACAGCTGATCGCGACCGCCATGTACTATCCCGTGAGTCCGAAACCTACAGTGAGAGGGAATTACTTCTCACAGCTGACCGCGAACGGCATACATTATCTCGCGAGTCCGAAACCTACACTGAGAGGGAATTACGTCTCACAGCTGATCGCGAACGTCATATTTTATCTCGAGAATCTGAAACTTTTACTCAATATTATTTATACCACCATGCACCATAATATTATTCGATCTCTTGAAGATGAACATGAGCATGAACAACGGCTAGAGTCGGGACGCGAATATTACAATTCTTTGAGACTATTAATAAGTTTGTCTAATGAAAGATTAAGAATTGAAAATATTCAGTCTCTTGAAATGGACGAAGAGCGAGAGGCCCGTCTTACTGCAGATAGATTTCGACATAGTCTTTATGATTTAGATGTACACATAGAAGATCAATCTACAAATTCGGTGGCGTGGTCCGACAAATATAAAAGTGGGTTTGCTTATAACCTCACAATTGATTACAGATCATCTTCTGTAATAGACGATATGAACGTAGTATGTTCTTTTTGTAATGCTTCAAAGTGGAGTAAGGAGTCGGCTGGTTTCTGTTGTTCTGGAGATAAAATAAATTTGCCTTCGTTCGAAAATCCACCGGAACTTTTGAAGTCACTACTTTTAGGGAAACATGTGCAATCTAAACAGTTCTTAGACAATATTCGCCCTTATAATAGTGCGTTTCAAATGACATCCTTTGGTGCTCAACAAATATCAGAAGGTCCTTTCATGCCTCATCAGATTTACCATTTGATAGGATCCCTTTTGCCTGAAGACCAACCTAAGTTTCTTCAAATATATTTTGTATCCGACTACAACGAACAGTCGAATATAAGAAATCAATATTTCCCGAATTTAAATACTGAACTTATTTCACAACTTCAGAACATGTTGCATCAGGTTAATTCGTATGTATGCAGTTTTAAAGCGGCATTAGAAGCTCTTCCTCAAGATGGTGATAACAATTATAAAATTGTTATAAATGCCGATAGGCGTCCAACTCAGGAACACCCTGGGCGTTATAACGTTCCATCCACGAATGAAGTTGCTGTAGTATTGGTCGACCAGGAATGTGGTAGGCGTGATATCGTTATCCGTTCCCGAGACAATCGTTTGCAACGTATTTACGAAACCCACAGGGCTTACGACAGTTTGCAATATCCTTTCATATAGGTACTCTCGAGGGGAAGATGGTTATAATTTCGCTTTATACCAAACTGACCCGCGTACAGGCGCACCTAATTATAATAAAAAAGATGTCATGCCTTCAATTTTATTGTTACCACTTGCAAGTGAGACGGAATAGATTTGTATACTTTCAACGTTTTCGTGGCTTATTCAATCAGTTTATTGTTGACATGTACGCAAAAATTTAAACCGAAAGATTAGTTTATATACGATCTAATCAAAGGCAGCTGCGCGCTGAAGAATACGTGCACCTTCGCGACGCCATGCAGCAAGATAATGATACGGTGAATATGGGCCGTTTAGTTATTTTACCCTCTTCTTTTACTGGTGGTCCACGCTACATGCACGAACGTACTCAAGATGCTTTTTGTTACGTAAGAAAATATGGACGTCCCGACTTATTTATTACAATCCCAAGTGGGATGAAATCACTCGGGAGCTTATTGAGGATCAAGCACCGCATGACCGCCGTGATATTATCGAAAGAGTTTTTCATTTAAAATTAAAACCAATGATAGATCTACTTACCAAAGTAACATTTTTGGAGATGTATTGTGTTATATGTATAGTGTTGAGTGGCAAAAACGCGGCTTACCTCACGCACATATCCTGATTTGGTTAAAAGATAAGGTTCGACCTAATGTTGGAGACAGTTCAATCAGTGCTGAAATTCCAGATCCGATTGCAGATTCCGTGTTATACGACATTGTTAAAACTCATACGATACATGGTCCATGTGGTACATTTAACGGGAATGCTCCTTGCATGCAAGAGGGTCGTTGCACTAAAAGATATCCAAAAGCATTAGTGGATAAAACTGTAACAGGACATGATGGATACCCATTATATCGTCGCCGTTCAAGAGACAATGGTGGTTTTACTGTTGAAAAGCGAGTGTCTGGACAACAGGTTATTTTAGATAATAGGTGGGTCGTTCCGTATTCACCTGTGTCGTCTAGAGCATTTCAAGCTCACATAAATGTTGAAATGTGTAATAGTGTAGAGTCAATAAAATATATTTGTAAGTATATTAACAAGGGCAGTGACCAAGCTACATTTGCGTTGAGAAATGAACATGATGAAGTTACTAGATTTCAGTCAGGCAGATATATCAGCTCTTCAGAAGCTGTGTGGCGGATCTTAAGTTTCAACATTCACGAAAGATATCCACCTGTGACTCATTTGGATGTTCATCTTGAAGGCGGTCAACTAGTGTTGCCAAAAATCGGTCTTGGTCTTGCAGTCTTGGTCTTGTTCTTGCATTTTTGCAAGACCAAGACCAAGAACAAGACCGCCTAATTTTAGCAAGACCAAGACCAAGACTGACCGTGCAAGGTTTGAGCAAGAACAAGACTAATCCTGCGAGATTCTTGCGTCTTGCAGTTAGGAATGAGTGTCGTTTCAGGGAGTATAGGAGTTCGGGTATACGCTTAGGGACTCTATGAGACGCAAAAAATATATAAAAAAAAATTGGAAAATTGGACTTATGCGCATTACGAACAATACCATAAACATACATAGCGGATGAAAATATCCATTAAAAGAAAAAACAGTGCATCCCTAGTTTTAACCATCGGCACTTTGACAGTGCGCGGCGTCTTGTTGTCGGCATCATCAAAGGTCTGACTTGTCAAAGAAATTTTGCAGCTATTCGGAAGTACAAGGTCAAGATACACGCGCCGTCGGCTTCTATTGATATCGCATTCAATCGTCGCCGCCGCGCCGCACGCACTACATTTGACACTGTTTGAATGCCGCCACAGAGTACATGTTCCAAAGAATAAAATAAGTTTCCGGGTGCTCAGAATGGACACGAATACATTATGCTGATCTCGCAAGGAATATTGTAATTAGATAATGATAAGGATAGGTAGATACCATAATAATTTATTCTAGTAAGTAATTATTATAATATTAACTATATGAGTTTATAATAATTACTTACTACTATTATTATTACCTAATAGATAACATGTTCAATAAGTTCACTGCAAATCTCGATTTTTGGAAGTGTGTGTTTTTGAACACAAAGTGTTCGAATATGTCGTCACCCATTTGATAAATATTGTAGACACTTTTAACACACTTGAAACGTGTAAACATTTAGTACAATGCTAATCGAATAATATAAAAAGTGTGCATATTAAATAAAAAGCGTAAAATAAGATCTATGTACCTTTTAGGAGCCCGAGTATCTCTTAGAGAACCGTTTAAAGAAATTGATTGCATCGAATTGATGTAAATAATAGTGATTTGCACAATATTAATAGTAGATTAGATATTAATAGATATTAATAGTAGAAATAAAAATAAAATCACAATACCTGCTTTCCGGTTACACAAAGTATATAATGCGTTCTTGGGTAGCGATATACGCTTTTATAATAAGATTCCAAAAGAAATGTTAGATCTTTCACCTTTTCAATTTAAGTCAGACAAAAATGCTTGGAATTGACCTCTCGTACTACACAGGACTAACTAGAAATTTCTAAACCGATTTGGTATCTACATATACATTTGACATTTTATGTTTGACTTATCGCTTTACATAATTATAGAACTATTGTAAAAATATTTTGAAAAGAGCAACTACTGAGTTTCTTACTTTCTTCCATGATTCTTCTCAGTAGAATCAGAACCCCTGGACATGGAAAAGAAAAAATTGGGGAAAACAGTGATTATATGACTATTCAAAAGTGTATTTTTAATGCCTACTTGAATAAAACATATTTGAATTTTTAATTTCAAACGAGTGAAGGCAAATTTAATTTAATTAATGTAGATTAATTCAATCACAAGAAGAACATAATATACACAATTTTATTTACATATTTACATTTCATTTTTACGTAGGCACACTATACCTATCTGGCAACGCATCTACTTTATTAATCTTCTGAAGAATCATTAATTTTATCAAAGGATGCCGAACTTTCCTTTGTCGGTCTTTCGGCATATACTTACAAATAGTAGTATTTATTTTAATTCCAGTCATTCCCAATTAAGCTTTGCTTCGAGTCTAATGTATTAAATGTTTTTACTCTAATCCTTGTTGTTCTCGGAGTGATAAGTTTACAATTTGACATGAGTGACGAAAAGTCGAATAGTTCTAGTCGGAGTAGTGAGAGTTGGAGTTATAGATCTAAAAGACCTAAAAGTAAATTTGATGAGTTTGTCGACATAATTCATGCATCCCAAATTGCTTTGTGTAAATTATGCCAACATAAAAAGGTTGAAATAAAAATGAAAAACAGAAACACTTCAGGCTTAAGGAAGCATCTAATATCTTTCCACAAAAAGGAATCACAAATATTTCTTCCTGAAAAACCAAAATTAAGTGGAGATATCACAAGCTTTTTAATAACCACCGTAAAAATTGGAACAGGTAAGAAAAAATATACTTATCACACAATTACATAACACATATATTATGTAACTAGCGGCCGCCTGCGACTTCGTCCGCGTACAATATCTGATTTCCTATGAGATTTTGAAATTTTCTTGCTGCAAAAGTCTTACCTAAGTATAAAGAGGCTATATAGGTAAAGCTTAACTATGCAAGTATTTATTATTTAAAACTAATAAAGTAAATGTCGATCTTCATATCTATACTTTAAAAATATATACTTTTACTTGCACTTGGACTTGCATGTAACCATTTTACCCCAATTTCACCCCCTTAGGGTTAGGATTTCGTAAAACAGCTTATTCAGGATTTTATTATTGAAAACTTATAACTTTAATGCCGATTTTCGTGTCTCTAACTTCAAAAACGTAGGACTTTCATAGAAACTTCCAACTCCCATTTCACTCCCTTAGAGATAGATTTTCTCAAAACCGTTTCTTAACTGATCTCTATGCCATAAAAGGAACCTACCTTACAAACTTCAAGTTTGTATATTTTATAGTTCCTGAGATATCGTTATAGTCAGTCAGTGAGTGGTAGTTATATAGATTATAGTGTTAAATATGTATTTATAATTCACTCATATTTTCATTTGTTTTTATAATCGGCGAGACACATGATTTACTGTTTTATTTCAGTCTGAAAATAGCAGTGACAACATCACGACAGCTACAGTTGATTGGATGGTTAAAAAATATCTTCCCTTCTCATTTTTCGATGACGAAGCTACACAAGTATATTTTCGATCAATTTGCCCAAATATGGTGTTTCCTAAAAGGTCCACACTTAGGAGGAAGGTCAAAGAACGGTTTGAAGAGCTTCAATTGAATCTTATGAAACGACTACAACAATTTTCATCTAAAATGTCATTTACCATTGATGGATGGACGTCAATTGCTGGTACGAGTTACTACGGGGTCACTATTCATTATATAGACAACGAATGGAAGTATCGATCTGTAGTCCTTGATTTTATACCATCACGTCGGTCGACATACTGGGGAAGATATTGCAACGATTTTCCACGAATGTTTATTGGAACATGACATAATTGATATAATACAGGGTATCACGGTCGAAAACGCAACTGCAAATACCAAATTTATGTATGAATTGGACAAACAGCTGCCACACTTTGATTCAGACGATCAACATTTCCGGTGCTTTGCTCACATTTTGAACCTTAGTGTACAAGATTTATTAAAGACCTTAAAGTTAAAGTTAAAGTTACAGCCTATATACGTCCCACTGCTGGGCACAAGCCTCCCCTCATTTCTGAGAGGGTTTTAGGGCAAGGAAGTGTCCGCCGCGCTGCCCCAATGCGTGTTGGCGAACTTCACATGTCTTCGAAATATTTTTTTCTTATTCCTCAGACATGCAGGTTTCCTCACGATGTTTTCCTTCACCGCCGAGCACGTGGTAAATCAGCACTTAAAATTGCAATTAACAATTTCATTGGCGTCGGCGGGTATATTAAAGACCTTAGCATTACACAATGAAACTGACAATAAGGGACAAGAACAGCAGTATGAAGATAATGAAGACAAAACTGAGGAAGATGAAGAATGTGCGCCAAATATTGCTGACTCACGTACAGCTATAACAAAATTACGCAGTATTTCCAGTAAAATAAAAAGAAGTGAGATATTGAAGGGGAAGTTTCAGTCTGCTTGTGAAGCAGCTGGCGTGCCATTAAATCTGAACCCCATACTCGACTGTCCAACGAGATGGAATTCCACACATGATATTATTGGATTTGGTTTAAAAGTGAGAACTGGCATTAACATATTGTGCACTTCTGTCACTGAATTAAATGATTTTCAAATCGCAGATAGTGAATGGCAAATACTCGAAAAAATACATAAGTTTCTAATAAACTTTAAACTTCTATCAATGAAACTTGGTGGAGAAAAATATGTTACATTACCGCTAGTCATTGTATCATTCAATCTCTTGCTTGATAAAATTGAATCCATGGTAAAACAATTAGATGAGAAACCTAATCGATCCGAAGTGGATGAAAGGCTCATTCTGGGTTTTCAAGCAGCTCGAGACAAAATGCTTAAACATTATAAAAAGAGCAACTGGATTTATTGTTTCTTACTCTTTAATTTTAGACCCAAGGCATAAGACTCAGACTTTTGACATGACATTTTGGGGGAAGCAAATTAAAACAGAAAGCCTGCGCAAATTTAATGAACTTTATAAAGAATATAAAAGTCTACACTCAGTGAATACATCTCTATAATCACCAAGAAATGAAAAGAAAGTATGTGAATATGATGAAGATGAAGACGTAATAGACTTTTTTAGAGAAATTGTATGCATGTCCCTCGACATCATCTGGATCTGGATCTTTCCATCAAGGCTTAGTTATAGACGAGTTGGAGGAGTACCTAAGTAAACCCAGACTCGCCAGTTCGGAAGACATTTTAGAGTGGTGGAGGACGCATGAGACAGAATATCCGACTTTATCGAAGATGGCCCGTGATTTTCTTTCAATACCTGCAACTTCAGTAACAGCTGAGAGATTATTTTCTAAGGCATCATTAGTAATTAGAAAACATAGAAATAGGTTAAGTGATGAGTCAGCCAGATGGTTACTTTGTATAAATTTTTGGTCAATAGAATTAATATAAAGTAACAGTAATGTCTAAGATGTTGTGTACTGTCACGTAATTTAATTTGTATTGTATTTTATTTTTTTATTTAAATAAAGGGTAAATTGTATACCTCTTAACTCTTTTATTCCATTTCATATAAGGGTCTATCAATCTCTTTCTAGACAGATAATGTTCTTTATAATACAGTCAAGTTAATGTCATTAATTTGTTTTTTATATGTTTTGACTAAGTTTTAGCACATGTAAGCTTATTAAATGTAAACGTTTAATAAGAAACAGACTAACTCCCGTGGCCGTGAGACTTGGTAGACAGCTCAGTTGGTTAGAGCATCGGCACGGATCGCTTAGGTCGTGGGTTCAAACCCCACCCGGTATTAGTTGATTTTTCGAATTTCTCATTAAATGTTTAGACATTTATTAATTTGGTTGGTCTTTCTATGGCTATGTTAATCCAAGCTCAAAATGTGCCTACTCTGTTAAGTTGTTCTAAGATCTAACGTAACGTTTAATAAATAACAACAAGCTAATAGGTAATTGCGAGACTTGCGAGACTCTTGCTGCAAGACCAAGAACAAGAATGAGAGCGCAATACCAAGAACAAGACCAGGTGTATTAGCGCAAGACCAAGACCAAGACTGGCTAAGTCTCGTCTTGTTCTTGCATTTGGTCAACACTGCGGTCAACGTATATATTTCAACGCCGAAAATGTTACAGAACGATTAGAGAACCCTAGACAAACAACTTTATTAGCATCTTTCGACTTTGCCAAACTGATGATTTTGCAAAATCTATTTTGTATGAGGAAGTTCCATCGTATTATACCTACGATAAGCAAAGAGGTGTCTTTAATCGTAGACGCCGTGGCAGGCCTGTAGATGGCGAGCCAGGTATTTTCAAAGAACATGTTCTTGGTAGAGTGTATACCATTCATCCTAACAACGCCGAGTGTTTCTATTTGCGATTATTATTACATACAGTGCGAGGACCAACATCATTTATAGATTTGAGAAAAGTAGACGATGTTGTTTATCCAACTTATCATGCAGCTGCGCGTCGTTTGCTTGAAAATGATCAGCATTGGGATGACGCTTTAGCAGAATCCTGTGTGATATCTATATAGTGATAATCCACGACGGTTACGCCATTTATTCGTAACATTACTCACATTTTGCAATTTGTCAGATGCTGTACAATTATGGGAAAAATATAAAGAAAAATTTGCAGAAGACTTTCTTCGGAATATATCCCACAATGATGAAGGCGCAACTAATGATAATTTCCGTGATCTTGCCATAAATCTGTGCTTATTAGCTCTTCAGGAAGACTTAACAGCAGTAGGCGGTAAATCACTCTGTGAATATGGTTTGCCAACACCAACCTCAGTCGGAGAGGTTACCAATAGAGAATATTCCGCAGAGATTGGTTACGACTCAATGGAACAGCTGGCAACATTAGAAAACGGTGTCCCAATGATGACTGCAGAACAACGTTCAGTCTATGATCGCGTGTGCGAGAGTGTTCAGAATAATTTGGGAACAATATGGTTTTAGATGCACCTGGAGGAACTGGGAAAACATTTTTGACTAAATTAATATTAGCTTATGTTCGAAATCAGCGTAAAACTGCTCACACTATGTTTAAAATACGGTAATTTAAATTTAAAATCTAAGGTATTACGTTAGTGTAAATTAATCATATGGGATGAATGTACGATGGCCTACTAGGAGTAGAAGCGGTAGACAGAACTTTAAGGGATATAAGACAAAATGATTGACCAATGGGCGGTATCACGATTTTATTTTGTGGTGATTTCCGACAAACCTTACCGGTAATACCACGGGGAACTCGAGCTGATGAGGTTAGGGCTTGCCTAAAAAGCTCTTATTTGTGGCGTGATATATAATCGGACGGTACATTTGACTATAAACATGCGAGTGAGAACTGGTGATAACCTGGATGATCGTCAATTTTCTGATAAATTATTAAAGATTGGTGAAGGTACCTATCCACAACTCCACCAAGGAAAACTTATTCTGACGCCATTATGTTGTATAGTGCAATCCCAACCACATCTTATATCGTCGGTTTACGGTGACGTAACAATTATATTAAATAGGGACAATTCTTGGCTATGCGAAAGATCCATTTTAACTCCTCGCAATGACCAGGCATCTGAGATTAATAACAAAATACTGTTGAATATACAGGGGGAAATTAAAGTTTATAGTTCAATAAATAGAATGGTCGATGAACAAGAAGCCACCTAATTACCCGATAGAATTTTTTAAATTCTTTAAATATGCCCGGACTTCCTTCTCATGAAATTTGTTTAAAAATTGGCATTCCGATTATTCTGCTCCGAAATTTAAGACCTCCACAACTTTGCAATGGAACTCGGCAAAAAGTAACCCAGTTCCAACAAAATATAATCGAGGCTCAAATTTTAAAGGTTGCGGTGCAGGAGAAACCGTTTTTATTCCCAGAATTCCCATAATACCAAATAATTATTCCAATTTAAAAGAACGCAATTCCCAGTATCAGTGTGTTATGCAATGACAATTAATAAGGCTCAAGGGCAGACTTTTCGTGTTGCTGGAGTAGATCTCGGTGTCAGTTGTTTCTCGCATGTTCAGTTGTACGTCGCTCTTTCCCGGGATAGCAGTTCTAGAAATCTTTATGTTCACGTGCCGGACGGGTCAACTTTCTACATAGTTTACCCGGAAGCTTTGCGCTGAAGTATTTTTGTTATATAAGCCTCATGTGAACGTGATCTAAACAATATTACCAATATATTAAATTAATAACACACAAGGAGTTACACTCCATCCAAAGCCCAGCGACACTATAATATATATAGGAATGACGTCTTAGCAAAATTTGTTTAGTCTGATGGGCATTTCCTGTTGACTTACAAAAATGAAAGATCTAGAACGTCTCGAATCGTCTCGCGAATCACGTTGTTTTCCCGTCCCCGGGCTCTTAGAATTCAACATCAGACGTTTCAGATCTTCGATTTTGACGACCCCATTGTCGCTGGCATAAGCAACAGGATCCGCGTACGAAGTCGCGGGCAGAAGCTAGTTAATAAATATTTAAAAACTTCAAACCTTCTTTCATTTAACTGTGATCCTTATAACCTCTCCTTCCCCTACTCATAAAGTATTGATTAAATTATTGTTTGAAAATGTTTATGATATTTTGTATAATAATGTTTATTACTAACTTTCAATAATAGTTGATCGAAGCAATTCGTTGGACACGAATTGGCCAATATATTTGCAGCCATGAATATCTGTGACAATCGGGACCTGCTTATGTTCCATCGCCTTCTGTTTGGACGTTGCACTATCCCTGGTTGTCATTTCTGTGCACGTTGTACTATCCTTTGTAATACACATTGGACCATCCTTCTTCGTTTCGTCTTGTTCCACAAGGTTCCCACACATGATAAGTCTGAGAGTTCTGTTCGACAAACTCATCATATTCGCAGTGCATTTCTATTTCCGATTCGGGAATATATTTTAATTATTAAACCTATGAAAAAAGCACAAAAGATTTAATTATCATGGTCGAAATACGTAACAAACAAATAGTCACTTTAAAAGACACTAAACAAATTAATAAACCACCTACATTTGATATCGGGTGGTAACTAAACTTAAAACACGAGGGGAACAAAGAAACAGCAACTAGGTTAAATTGATGGCGGATGGCACCTTATGGGCGACATCATATCCCCTCGAGGAGCCACTAAATATTTGTTAGTCGACAAGCACAAAAGTTTGATAAAAAGATTACCGCAAGGAATTGGTTAAAAAAGACAAGTAGTTTTAGAAAAATGTTTTATTCAAACTATATTTACAGATAAATAATTAAATCATAAGACGATGCTTTACATTATTATTACTAAACGATCACATCATTTGATGAAAATGTTTAAACAGAACTGTAAGGCTCAGATAGCCTTACAGTTCTGTTTAAGCATTCCACAACACACCATCGGGCCATCCTATTTCTAAAACATTCACTCTCAATAAAATATTAAAATGATAAAACTTCGAAAAATGGAAGCATAATGAAAAAAAATAGTAGTTGTCATTCCACAATGCTAATACTATAGTCATAAACAGCACTTATAACATTTGTAGTTAAACAGCTATAAAGTGTAGACTAAATTTGCGTTTCCACCAGATCCCTAGCGGTGCGCGAGGAAATAATTCTGGAATAAACGAAAAGCATTCATTTCGTTTATTTCATTTCACCCCGCTCAGTAAAGCTCTGGTGGAAAAGGACTTAGCAAAGAGAGGTCTTTGTACAAAAAAAAACAAGTAAGAAGCGTTGGCGCTAAACGGAAATACGTAATAAATAAAACAAACACCATCTATTGACTACCTGTCAATAGATGGTGTTTGTTTCGCTGCTTCGCACAGTATTAGTGATAATTATAACTTTTAACAAAAAAAAACCGACTTCAAATTGGTAAAAAGAAGTTATTTATTTGCAACCCTTAGGGGGTGGAATTTTTTCACCAAATTTATATGGGTCATCCTTGAAGTATAACCTATTATAAAAAAAGAATCATTAAAATCGGTTCTTTATCTGCGAATATATCATATGAAATTCTTTAAACAATAGTCCAATATGAAAATTTTTCCCCTATTTTTGAGGAAAAGCCTAGTTAATAATAATAAAAAGGATTATTATTATCAGTTCACAATCTGACAAAAAAAGAACCTACACTAGCATTGAAGATCGATCGAGTCGACGATCCTTTTTGAAGTCGGTTAAAAAGAGTCGCACCATTTAGCTTTATTGTGCTGCTTTGGTGATCTGATAGGTGGCACTGTAGTGTAGTTATTTAATGAATTCTATATTTTTATCAAACAAAATTACTCATATTCGCAATATAATATAATAAATTTCTTACAAAAATTGAGTATAACAAAATCGGAATCCGAGAGCACTACACAGGTCCGAAGTGAATTCGGAATGAATCTCACAACACCATGTATCGGAAAGGGCAGAACAATGTCTGTGGGGCCAGCTAGTTACTTAGTAAAAACCATAGACAAAATAAGGCTGTTTACAATCGTCAATAGTTATACATCAAATAAATTTGAATCTGACCGCAAAAGTAAAACTTCTGTACTATTATATTATGACAACTGTATTTTTTCATTTGTAAAAAATCGGCACTTAATTTTCTAAGAAATTCCTTACAATTACATACATAAACATGTGAAAAATCAATTTCAATAACAGCTCTAAATAGTTGTTACCACAAGTCAGTTTTTGTGGATTTTCTATTTAACTAACTTTTGTACAACATTATAACGATTTGACTTATCCTTTCCCCCATGTTAATAAAACACAAAATATATTTAAGTAATTAGGATTATGAATTATAATCTATAATTTAAATAATTAAGCTTATTATATAGTTATAAAAATAGTATCTCTTTACGCAATACATATAATACAACAAAATAAAATAATACAATATTTAATGTTATTTTTATACACATTTGTCATTTATGTTTGTACGTACGAAACAGGAATATTAAGAATGAGTAAACTTTTAAAAACCATTACTATAATTTAGCAACTGAAGAACATATAAATATTTATGCAAAAACATGAAATTTACCATTAGGTAGTATACAAAGTTTAGACAGAAAAGGGGTCCCCCTTTTCTGTCTAAGCTTTGATAACAAAGGTTGTATCTATACAACCTTTGTTATCTATTTCTGCTGTCTAGCAGCAGTGCGTAATGTTACGTCTGAAGGTATACACTTAGTCGTATGTAATGGTGGTTAATATAGCGCATAGCACCATATTATAGCGCGCTATAGTGCATAGCATGAAGGTTAGAAAACAGGAGAACGATCGCCGTAGAAATTAGTGTCCCAGAAATATGGACACCATAAGTGAGGCGTTGCGATCGCTAAGTTCGCTCAATAAAAGTAATTTTCAGTCTATTTTTCCGATCAGATGCTAAACCACTTGCACATCCACACACAATAAAATATTTCTGCATTTTTTAATGTTTCTTTTTGTCAAAAATTACAAAAAAATTACGGAGCATGAGCATGAGCATAAGTAGTTATAAGTAGTTGCCATGGCACTACGGCGCTTTGGCGCTATTAATATCTAGCGGCAATCAATTCCAGCAGCAGCGCTGTTGCGAGTGGACGTGTCACGCAAATTAGCTCTAGCAGAACGCTATTCATCGTGCGCGAACTAATTTAGTGAAATATTTATAAGTGATCAAAGGATACAGTTCTGCTACAAAAGTAACCTAATGTTTAAAAGAAAATAAAATAAAGATACAAAATTTTATATAATAGTGTATGTAAATAGTGGATTTTTGTATATACAACCAATACATTTTTAAATACTCATTAATTGATTTAAAATTTAAGGCTAAAATAACGTTTACATCGATTATAGATAGTCGTAAGCCTGAAAAGTATGAAAGAGTGTTCATTGGTTTTTCTTTACTGCTTTATTTTATTTTAGTCTAAAATGCGATTTATTACGAAATATTCTT